TTGACGCCCTTGCCGAGGGCAAGCATGAGGTCCTGGCCTTGGCCCGACGGGTAGGTCAAGAAGAGAGACGCAAAGAGACGCAGAGAGACAGATCGTGCTCCGGAAGGACTGCTAACGTTCCCGTCAGGACCCCTCGTCATTCCCCCAGCAGCCCGGCGTGACCTGGGCGCAGACGTCGTACAAGGACAAGGATGAGCTCGTCGCGTTGTTCCGGGGCGCCGATGCGGTGCTCAACTTTATTGTGCTCAACAACGACCCGGGCAACGAGGTGGCGTACCGCATCATCGATGCCGTGGTCGAGGCCGGCGTGCCGCGCTATGCGCCGAGCGAGTGGGCCATGTAAGTTTGCTGGCATGCACAGCTACGGGGAACGTCGACACTCACATTTTTTTTGCAGGGGCACCAAACTCAAGGACGTCATCAGCACCGTGCCGTTTTACCAGGGCAAGCTCGACGTGCAAAACTACCTGGCCGACCTCAACAAGGACAAGAAGGTGCTCGAGTACAGCCTCTTCCAGGTCGGCTTCTTCTTCGAGTACGCCGCGTACCCGCGCGCCCTCAGCAAGCACGTGCCCCCCGTCGCCACCAATTGGCAGCTCAACGAGGCCCGCCTCGTCAGCGTCAAGGGCTACGAGCACGACAAGCTGACCTTCACCCGCGTCCGCGACATTGCCCGCATCGTGCGCGGCGCCGTCGAGTACAAGGGCGCGTGGCCCGTGGTGGGCGGCATCCGGGGCGCGGACATTTCGGCGACGGAGTTCAAGGCCGCCGTCGAGGCCAAGCTGGCCGCGGGCAAGGGCCCCGGCATCTTGCCCCCCGGCACGCGGACGCTCCGGCTCGACCTGGCCGACAAGGCCGTCCTGGCGCAGGGCAAGCTCGACGTGGCGATGCCCAAGCTCATGCACCCGTCGATCCCCGACGACCTGCGCGACCAGTGGCACGCGCCCGTCTGGTCGGGCTCGCTGTTGGCGACGGCGCACGGGGCCTGGAACGCCTCGGACGAGTGGAACCAGCTGCTGCCCGATATTAAGATGAGCACGGTCGACGACTTTATCGAGGCTATACTGGAGAATGAGTAAGTGTGGGTTGGGGAGAGACGTTGATGGGTGGGCTTTGACATCTGGAAAGCGTCACTTGCGCCGCAGTGTAAGGTCGTAGCAAATCAAATTTATTTTCGTAAATTTATGTGTACGTGAAATACTGTATGAGCTGGCTTTTTTTTTTTTTTTTTTATTTTTTTTTGCGTATTGGCTGGACATTTGTCCACTGTGGCGCAATAACCGTTAAACTAAATCGTATTGCCGACATGGATCACGCCCTTTTGGAGCTTTAGGAAACAATTCCCGCCGGCACCCACCTCATGCACCGTAAAGACCAACAGACAGTCCGGCAAAAGGTGGCGCTTGGATGATTCGGATGTCTTGCAAAACCAACAGACATAGACGAACGGCAATTCACGACAACCAGCGAGAACACGATCGAAACGGCCAAAACACAGCCGATCGGATGCCCTTCCAATCACACAAACAGTTGCGAAAGAGGACGGGACGGCATGACATGCACGGCGAGGTGCAGTCAGGCAAGGGAGAAAGAAGTAAAGAAAAGAAAAGAAAACAGGCATCCAACACCACACCACAAAATGCAACGCAGAAAAGGACGCACCAACAAGGCTCGGCGGCTATTTCAGAGGCTCGAATTGGTTCGCATCGGCGCACAGGATATTGGGGGCTGAATGGGGGCGACAAAGGTGGAAAAAGGCATGGATGAGCCCAAGTTGTGTGAACGACGTACCTGGTCCATTCCCTTCTTTGAGCGGTCCCCTTGCCGTTTCTCATGTCTCTCGTCCAATGACATGAAGCAACAGTATATTGCGGCGACATCTTACACTTTTGCGCCCAGCACTGTCTGCATGCTCTCTGGATGCTCTCTGCACTCGCAGCGCCCACGTTTCGCACCTCGGTGTCTTGACGGTTGGACGCAACTGTCTGTTGGATGCACTCTGCATTCTGTCTGTTGGGCCATGCTGTCGCTTCCGCTTTTTTGTGCGCGGTCAACAAGGCTCGTACTTTGTACTCTGTCGATATAAGATGCGTGAAGGAGCGCGCCTTGGCACGCGGTTGTTTTGTTTCTGTATTCTGTATTCTGTGTGCTGTGTTCTCAGGATTCTCCTTTGAGACTGCCGCTCAACTCGACGCTTGACCATTTTGAGTCCAAGTTCAACATCTGCATTGCATCGCCAATTTTTTTGATTCCTGTTTACTGTTTACGCGCGTACTTGTGTACTCGTCTACCCCTCACCATGCCGCCAAAATCGCCCCTGTCACCCAAGTCTACCATGTCCTCCCGGTACACGCCGCACCCGTATTCGCCCTCCTCGCCCGCCGGCCTGTACGGGGTCTCGCCGGCCCGCAAGCAAAAGAAGAAGCGGTTTTCGTGCGGCACCGCCCTCTACACCGTGTTCTGCCTGCTCGCGCTCGCGACCAGCATCCCCATTGTCGTCTTTGCCGGCCGGCTTCTCCACAACTGGCCCGACTATTTCCACAAAGCCGCCGGCATCCCCTTGGCCGGCGGGCTCATTGCCGTGGCGGCCGATCTCTGGGCGGTGGTGTTCTTTGCCCAGCGCCACCGTGCGTTCTTGGTCGCCGTGCCGCTCGACCTGCTCTCTGCCATCCTCGGCGCCGTTGGCATCTTCTCGCTCCTGCAGGCCGGGTTTAACAACGCCAGCCAGCCCTTGACGGACGCCCAGGCAGAGCTGGCGACGAGCTGGTCCGCCGACCAAGACTTTGGCATCATCTTCTCGGGTCTCTTATGGTGAGTCGAGGGAGGGGGGAGACCAAAAACCAAAAAAAAAATGAAGAGTAAAAGAATAAAATGTCCAATGGACCGTTTCGTTCTAACGCTGGCAGTGGCGTCCGTGCCTTCTCCCTCTTTGTCAACAGCGTCCTGTCGTGTCTCATCTTTTCGCGCAGCCTTCGTCATGAGCCCACCACTGTCCAGGCGTACAGTTCGACGGAGCTCTACTAGACGTTGCCGGCGTTTTCTCTCATCTTTTACGGATAATCTTCGGATGATCAAGGGCTTCGCGTCGTCCGGTGTCATCGTCAGAGTTCCTCTTCTTGTCGTCTCCGCCGTCTTTCCCCTCATTTTCTCATCAAGATTCGGTCCTTTTCTTCTCCGTTTGTGCATCGGGAAATTGTTTTGCGTTCTTGGCCTGTTTTGGTCTCCTTTGGTACGGTCTGGATGTGTTTTGCCCGGTTTTGGCCCTATTTTGCTCGCGTTATTCTACAAACTCGTCTGCTTCGGATGCTGAGGTTGTGGACCTCGGCTTGGGACTATCCCACCATGGATCAGGGAACAGCTCTGGAGGAGTCTGGATGCTACTGTCGCACTGCCATGTGTCTTTGCTATCTATCCCTCGGATGTATCGCCAGAGCACTCTCATGTCGATTCTTCCCAGCCAAGTTTACCCACTTCCCTTAAGCAATGTTTACCAATCTGTTCGTCATGCCGTTCATGCTCTCCTCGTTTCTCGGCAGTCGCCGTAAGTCATGTCGATCCCTTTGTGCATCTGTGCATCTGTGCGTCTGGTCGTTTGCCGTCGTCACTACCGATCGCAGCTCTCCACGATTTCGGAGCCCACTCGGCGGCAATGGAGGTTGCAGTGCGTGCGGAGCGTGCCATACCACGTCTCGGCATCCGGAGTGGTCAAGGATGAAGACGTAAAACGCGATCAAAGTCGCCGCAGATTCCCCTTCTCCACGTGTGGACAATCAACGGCAACTCCCACTAACACCCACTCTACCCGCCAACTTCCGTGTTAGTAACTAGTCTTAGAGTGCTGCCAATGCTTAATGCGCCTCGCCGTTCTAGGGACCCTATTCGGCCGGCTTGGCCTTGCCTAAAGAGAGCGAGTGCCCGCCAGTAGCAGCCTCTCCCAGCCCTAGCCAACCACAAGCTCCCAGGCCCCTCTTATTAGAGCTCTTATTCCCCGCAAATAGAACGGCCGCGGTGTTTACTGTACCCCATACGTCGTATGTGTAAGTCGCGCCTTCCCCAAAATGTCTGTTTACCCTTTCGGAAGTATCCCCCAGGAAGGTCAGGAAGGAGCTGTCCAAAGAAGGAGCGGCTGATGTCCGGTGGCGCCGCCCAATACTTGCTCTATTTGGCTATTACGAGTCGTCTCAATGATCCGTTTGGTCCTTTACGTCGTAATACTGATTCTATCGACCCAGCAACATCCCGAGCCAAGTTTTTTCTCAAAGCAAACCTGCAAAACAGGACAAAAAAACAAGTTGAAAAAAACATACGTGCAACCAGCCGAAGGTTGCAATTCGGAGTAGGTAACCCATCGCTCTTGCAGTTTTGGTGACTTTTGAGTCTTCGCGCCTTCTAATCTCGAAAAACAACGGAACGAGCTCGGTGGTTCTTCCCTTTTGTGCTTTTCCCCTTTCTCCCATTCTCATTGTCGCTTTCCTCGTCGTATGACACAGAATCGGCGCATCGACTTCCGTATCCACAAGCAACCCCTCACCGCGACTTCCTCTTTACAGCGGACGGCGAGCTGCGACTGTATCGGGCCTTCCAAGGTGGCTCCTTTGTTCACGCTTGGGAGCTTCTTGCCTAATCGGTTTCTGCGATTTCTTGGCCAGCCGCTCTTTCCTACTTAATGCTCGCGCATCTCCAGCCAAGTTGCAAGACCGAGACACAATAGAGACAAGACCGAGACACAGGACAAAGACAAAAAAGGTCAAGCTCCGGTTTAGACTTTAAGCTTTATTTACACATTCCGGCTGGCTTGTTTTCGGCCCCGTCTTTACCCCAGACCCTGACTGCGGCTTACGTACTGGTCTCTTCTTAAAAGCTGCATCATTGCATCATCTTCGCCACCTCCAACACATCGCGACAAAAAAGACACTGCAAACATCACGACTTTGGCAAGTCAAACGGCCAGTCAAGCACGCAGCCATTCTCTCATTCTCTCACGCTGCTACTCACACAAGATGGCTACGCCACATGAGACTACTCTGCCCGCCTCGAGCGGGAAGCGCCCATTGGACGACCACACGTTCCCTGGCCAGACTCCGGCGTCGCCAGCCCCCGACAAGACCAGCTGACTAGCCGGCCAGCGTGCGCGGCTGCCGTTCCTGCGCACACAGCGAGGCCTTGCTTTCACGGTGCTCTCCGTCTTGCTCATCGTTGGCGGTAGCCTGTCCCGTCTTGCGTCTCTGGGCAGCCACAACCATGTCGACGATGGCGGCATTGACAATGGCAGTCTCCTCCGCACACGCGACAGCAATGCCACTGCTGTCCCGGGCCTCATCACCGACGACACGTACTTTTATGGCGACTCCCCGCCCGTCTATCCGTCGCCCGACATGACGGGTGTTGGCACCTGGGCCGTGGCGTACAACAAGGCCGTGGCGCTCGTCTCGCAAATGACGCTCGCAGAAAAGGTGAACCTGACCGCCGGCGTCTCGTCCGGGACGGGCTGCTCAGGCACCATCCCCGGCGTGCCCCGTCTCAACTTTACCGGCATGTGCCTGAGCGACGCCGGCAACGGCCTGCGCAGCACCGACTTTGTCAGCGCCTGGCCCAGCGGCATCCACGTCGGCGCCAGCTGGAACCGCACTCTGGCTCGGCAGCGCGCCATCGGCATGGCCGGCGAGTTCAAGAAGAAGGGCGTCAACGTGATGCTGGGCCCCGTCGTCGGCCCCGCCGGCCGCACCGTGCGCGGCGGCCGGTACTGGGAGGGCCTCTCGGTCGACCCCTACCTGGCGGGTGCGCTGGTGTACGAGACGGTGACGGGCACGCAGCAGACGGGCGTGATTACGAGCACCAAGCACTACATTGCCAACGAGCAGGAGACCAACCGCCTGCAGTCGGTGCAGTCGGGCGACGTGCAGTCGGTCTCGTCCAACATTGACGACCGCACCATGCACGAGCTGTACCTGTGGCCGTTCCAGGACGCCGTGCTGGCGGGCTCCGGCAACATTATGTGCTCGTACAACCGCGTCAACAACTCGTACGGCTGCGCCAACAGCAAGACGCTCAACGGCCTGCTCAAGACGGAGCTCGGCTTCCAGGGCTTTGTCGTGACGGACTGGGGCGCGCAGCACGCGGGCGTCGCGTCCGCCCTCGCTGGCCTCGACGTCACCATGCCCAACAGCGTCCTCTGGGGCGACAACCTCGTCAACGCCGTCAAGAACGGCTCGGTGCCCGAGTCGCGCGTCACCGACATGGCCACGCGCATCGTCGCCGCCTGGTACCAGATGGGCCAGGACACCGGCATTCCCGCGCCCGGCATCGGCATGCCGGTTGACCTGACCCGCCCGCACCCCATTGTCGACGGCCGCGACCCGGCCGCGAAGCAGACGCTCTTGGACGGCGCCGTCGAGGGCCACGTGCTGCTCAAGAACAACAACCACGCGCTGCCTCTCCAGACGCCCAAGTTCCTGTCCGTCTTTGGCTACTCGGCCCGCGCGGCCGACCAGAACAACTACGAAGGCAGCGTGTCGGCCTGGGAGTTTGGCGCCGAGGCCGCCAACATCACCGACATCCTGGCGGGCTTCGTGGGCAGTCCGAACCCGCACCCGCTCGGCATCGCACCCAACGGCACCCTCTTCTCCGGCGGTGGCTCGGGTGCGAACTCGCTGACGACCGCCAGCGCACCCTTTGACGCGTTGACGCAGCGGGCCGGGCGGGACGGCACGCAGCTGTTCTGGGACTTTACCGAGCAGAACCCGAGCGTCAACGCCGTGTCCGAGGCCTGCCTCGTGTTCGGCAACGTCTGGGCCACCGAGTCGGTCGACCGCCCGGCTCTGTCGGACGACTACACCGACCAGCTGATTGCCAACGTGGCCAGCAAGTGTAGCAACACGATTGTCATCTTGCACAATGCCGGCGTGCGCATCGTCGACGCCTGGATCGACCACCCCAACGTGACCACCCTCCTCTTTGCGCACCTGCCGGGCCAGGCGTCGGGCGAGGCCCTCGTGTCCCTGCTGTACGGCGACGCCAACCCGTCGGGCAAGTTGCCCTACACCGTGGCCAAGCAGGCCGCCGACTACGGCGCCGTGCTCGACCCGGACCTGCCCGCGGGCGTCTTTGGCCTCTTCCCGCAGGCCAACTTTACCGAGGGCGTCTTTGTCGACTACCGCCACTTTGACGCCCGCAACATCACGCCGCGCTACGAGTTTGGCTTTGGCCTGTCGTACACGACCTTTGCCTTTGCCAATTTGGCCATCCAAAAGGCGACGCCCGTGTCGGGCGCCGAGACCAATCTGTTTGCCGAGTACCCGACAGGCGCCGTGCGGCAAGGCGGCCAGGCCGACCTCTGGGACCAGCTGGTAACGGTGACGGCCGACGTGCAGAACACGGGCCGCGTGGCCGGCGCCGAGGTGGCGCAGCTGTACGTCACGCTCCCCGGGGCTGGGGAAGGGGCGGATGGTGCCGCCATCCCCGTCCGCCAGCTCCGCGGCTTCGACAAGAGGCTGCTGGCGGCCGGCGCGACGGCCCAGGTCACGTTTGCCCTGACCCGCCGCGACCTCAGCTACTGGGACGTCGTGGCACAAAAGTGGCGGCTGCCGGCCGGCACCTATACCGTGCGCGTCGGCTCCAGCAGCCGCAACCTGCCGCTCACAGGAACGTTTGCCATTGAGGGTGGGTTGAGCTAACATGGAAGCATTCTCCAAGACTTTCCTGGATACGTTTGTAGTACTTTTAGATGAGGAAATGATTGTTTTCTTTTGCATTTCTTTTTTCCTTTTTTTGGTTACTCTGCTGCTTGTCGAGCCCTCTTGCCTCGTTCGGATAGGACACATAATTTTGTTGGTTGTCATCCTCTGTACATAGTTTTGGAAAGCAATATTGTTTCTACTGAACATCTCGCCCGCGTACGTTTCATTTTGCACATGCACAGCATGCCGCCCGCAAAAACACAGTCGTCGTCGTCTGCACAATGCCGTGTCTCTTTCGCTGACTGCATGACGTCCCAATGGGAGGCCATTGTGGTTCGTATGGGGAACATGCCACCTTTGTTGACCGCAATGCAAGTCACGACGTAGGATATGGTGCAGGCCACGACGCAGGCCACGACGCATACCATTATGGGGTACAGACGGCACGATGGAGACATCGTCGCCACACGATGCAAGCCAATAGGAGAAATGAGGCACAAGGCAGACGGCAAACGCCAGCGGAGAGTGTCATGCAAAGCACAGTCGCTGGCTTGGGCCACTGTTCATGCCGTGTGGCCTGCGTCTGGACGTCTGGACGCCTGGACGTCTGAGAGTTGAACCAAAGTGCTTGCATCGTTTTTGATCACGAGTGTCAAACTAACGGGCGTACTTGCTCCTCATTCGGCTGTCTCCTCATGCCGTCGACGCCTCATCCCAATTTTATTTTGGCCTGCAACATTGCCATGTGCGTCTGGATTGTTTTGGTTAGATGTGCCTCTGTGCGCACGCCCTGCATTCTGTGTGCATCGCGCCTCGTCCTCTTTGGTGTGTGTGTGCTTGAGTGTGCTTGAGTGCTTTGATTTCTTCCTTTATTCGATTTCAGACTTCCCCTCATTCTGCACATCTCCTTTCATCAAAATCAAAATCAAAGCTTTACATGATGTACTCCACGGTGTTGACAAAAGATGGGGATCGTCTGCGCACAAACACACACTTGTGCATCTCTGAAATTGCAAAGGGGACATTACGAATCACGAGAATATGCCACAATATACCACAATATGCCACATGTGTCTCTTTTTTATCACTCTCGGTGATTTTACCTTGTAAAGAATTGCTCGACGCCTGATATTGTCGTCGGATCTTCAGAGTGCCATTCTCACTCGCCGTTGATCTCTTTGACCTCCTTCTCCTCTTTTCTGTCCTGTAGCCGAGATTTGCAGGATCCGCTCGACTCTGATGATGGTCGTTTTGCACGACTCTTGGTCCCAACGGCATTCAGTCGAATGATGAGTGACCTGTCTGTTCCTTGCACGTCTCTTCTGGTCTCTCTATGAAATGTGACACACCGGCTGTTGCCTCAGTTGGGACAGAGAGCACCACCCAGTAAAATGAACTGGGAGCAGGATGCTACGGCATTCCCAGTCGAATTGATCTTAACAGCCTTGCTAAGGCTGTCAATGGTGTCTGTTTTCAGTTGGGATGTGTCGACGACCACGCGCCCGGAAGCTGGTCCCCGCAGTTGGTGATGGGAAACTGTTGGTGATCGTTCTAGACGGCTTGTTGCGCATTGTCAACACCACTAATTAGCGAGAGCATAACTCTAATAGCGATTGACTTCAATGAGCTTATGGGTGTTAAGCCTTGTTCCGCTAAAAACCATCCCAGGGCCCTCCGACCCCCCCCACCGTGCCCCGTCAGGCGCCCCGCCAGTCCCACCAGCCTAGCCACGTTGCTGAGACACTGCTTGAAAATCGGGCGCTCGGCGGGCACTGGCGCACGGAGCATGCCCGGCGTGCCGTTGTTGGCCTGTTTTATTTGATTTGATATATTTTATATAGATGTTAGCTCGTCTCATCTTTCCTGGCGATTCCTACCCTACCATTGTCGACCCTCGACTGCGGAATAGGGGTAACGAGAAAGGTGCCTCTTCGCATCCTATCATTGCGACCACAGAGGTGGCTCCCACAGAGATTTAGTACGCAAGGAGGAGGCAAGGCTCGACTTTGTGTGCCCCATTGCGGCATACCACACCGACGACACGGCCGGAGCTTGTCTCAGCAAGCAACAGCCAGCTGGACACCTGCATGAACTGCAAACCCTCAGAACGACGAGCGAACATGATAGGTGGGAAGGGAATGAAGATATGTAGTCCTCCATACGAATACGGGATTGTATGTATCCGTTTGCGTCCGCATTGGATCTGTTGTACTTTGTACAAACCTACAAGACGAAAACAGCAAATGGCCGGAGGAAGCCGAGTCCATGGAAAATTCCGTGGAGGACTCATAGACAAGAAAGACGTACGGCATGCTCCGGCGATGTATCAACAAGCAAAGTAGACAAAAGGAGACTGCGCAAGAAGTAAGGAATGGTGAGTGTCTGTATGACCATGCACTACGAGTGTCGTTCCGGAGCACACTCGGTGGCTTTCTCCCCTTTAGGAAGAGCGCGGGTCCAAAGTCAACAAACCCTGTTCGGCATGTCAAGGTCAAGGTCAACATCATGGTCAAGGTGGTCCGGTGTTGGAATCTCCATTAGCGGCCGTGGCAATGGTCTCGGGCTCGACCTTGCGTCCCTCTGATTTTCCACCACTTGATATCTTTTCAGCTCAGACCAGGCCACTAGGCACATCCTCTCGATCCTCCTCTTCCTCGTGGGTTGATTCTTGGCGAACGCTTCCAAGAATACCCCGAGAGACAGACAGGGAGAACAGACAGGCATTCCTCCACTCGCGAGACACACTACGCCTCCTGGTAAACGTTGGCGGACGCCACGAACGCTGGCCGCCGGCGGTATTGCTCTTCTCGGGAAGCTCGCGTCCATATCCCAGTCTACGGAGTCGTTTGGTGGTCTGTCCCTCGCGAGAGCATGAACGGTTGTCCTGCAAGTTGCCTTTACAAGGTCCCTCCTGGAAACTTGGCGAACATGAACGCCGTGTTCCACCGTCCTGTTAACGCTGACGCCGACGCCGACGCCGACACTTACCCTGCATCTTCACGATCCCCCTATCTGAGATAAGAGTCTCAATGCTAGTTGGCACTATTTTTGTCTTTTCTGGTGTCCTATCCTTCACCCCTTTTCACACTTATGTGCCTTTTCCCTTTTTTCTCTTCTGGCCTGCTATTTTTGGCGTTCGTTCCTGTTTCGCACCTTGACAGTCCATTGACCAATGAGATCCGTTGCAGACAAAGTTGGGAACAGGGTTCCAAGGCGAGCAGGGGATACTGGGGAAAGCAAGGGGCTGTACCGTTGTATCGGAGACGGGCTCGCCATGATCCCTGCTGAAACAAGTAGGGAAAGGCAAGCCAAGCGAAAAAAGAAAGGAAAGGAAAAGGCAAAGGAAATAGTACCGTCATCCTTCGTCACTGTATGTTGTACTTCGTACGTCGTACGCCCAATACCCTTTGGCCTGGCACTCGCCTAACCGCCACTGTCACGGAACATTTTGACTCGTCTAATCTTGCCGTTGAGGGTACTTTTGACATGCAAGACATGTCACTGGCGTAATTTGGTGACGATGATGGTGACAGTGATTGTGATGGTGACCATTTTCGTACGTGATTTTGGAAGAAAATATGGAATACTTGGCACTTGGGATGCCCAGAGCGCTGGCTTGTCGATCTCCAGAAACGGGGACAACAGACGAAACATTGTTTTTTGGTGTTTTTTGGTGTGTTTTTTTCTTCTTCTTCCCTTCTTCGCTGCACTACGTAGTTTGGGTTCATTGGCTGAACATCGTACTGCCGACTAGCAACTGTCGAAAGCTCTAGGCGAAGTTGCACAACAAGCAACTTCCCTGTAGTCATGCTACTTCCTGCAAGCCACAATGGTAGGTGGCGCCGGCGAACATTGCGTTTTGGGTCGACCGACTGCAAAAGACTGTACGGAAAGACAGGGCACACGGAGACTCCGGTCTGGCACAGTTTCGGCCATTTCGGGCTACGTAAGGAGGGCGTGGACTGAGCACAATGTTAACAGGATAACGCAAGTGACGAGATATAGAGAACAGAGAGAAAAACGTAAAATGGGGCCGAGACGGGCTTGTTTTCAGATATTTTTACAGGCGGCTTTATTGGGGTTTCCCTGTCGCTACAGTCCTCCGCTCTGTTTGATACAGTAGTGTTGGTGTTGACAAGGATGGCAACTGCTCGTGGGGGGCCAGGGCATCTTGAAAGTTATTAAACACAGACCACTTCTTTATCGTGGTTGGGTGCCCCCCAATACAAGACAGAGGGGGTTTTAGGCAAGGCGGCTCTCCCGTCTTTTCTGCTGCAACCACTTAACACGGCCTGCTCGTGCAATTAAAATGAAGAGGAAACTCAATCAAGCACCAATTTGAGACGAACCCCTCACCACACAAAGACGAGAGGAGACAGACAGACAGATAGAAATAAAGCCGAAAGTCGAAGCTTGTGCCATCTCCCATTTGCCATTGCCGGAAACCTAGGACCCTGCGGCAAGCACTGTCGATCCCCGAGCCGATTTCCAATATAGCGATGATGAAACTGGACGAGGACAGGAGGGGGAGGGCACGCTTTGCAAAGTACGAGGATGGCAAGAGAGTATATGACGTCCCCTCGTTTTGCCTCTTTTCTGAAGCTTGATCACCTTAATCCGGGTGATCGACCGGAATCCAAGCGTATCACGGTTTTGTCCAATATGTGTGTCCAATATGAGTGTCCAATATGAGTATAAGAAACACTGGAAACGCGGAAAGGTTGAAACAAATTGGCCGCTCAACCATGAACAAAATTCGACAAAGTTATGCCGAAAACACGAAACGAAGTCAAAGAAAAGGTAGGACAAAGACATCGTAATGGGATTGGTCATGGACCGTGGGGCTGGCCAGCTACCAAGGCCAGAGAGGGCAATCTATCTGGAATCTTGGAGCGAGAGGGGCAGAGTGCCGATGCGGTACGAAACCAGACAACAACCAGTCGGCATGGAACCGTGGCTCACTGGGGATCACTGGCACACTGCAGACATCGAGAGGCGATGTAGTTCGTAAGCTAGCAGATTCACAAAACCATGAGGAGACTACTTCATCGTACGACATATGGGTCCTCTGAAAATGGAAATACTACTAGAATTTAAATCACCGTTACAAGAACGTGCAGTAGTGTATGAAACAAATGCAACAAAAAGCGTCGAGTCTGCATGAAACTATTTTTTGAAGTCGTACTTTCACGTGGGCGGCAACTGCCACTTGACACTTGACCGGTTCTCAACTAGTTTCTCCTGTTTATGAACCTGTGATGAATACTAGACTGGCGCACTGATACGTTGTGATATCACAGGAGCAGCGAGAGGGGCAGGCACTCAATGCAGCGCTGCAGAGCAACTCTGCTGTGCAACCAACATCCAGTCACTTTCACCAAAGTTGTCTTCCTTTGGAATATCACTTGCGAGGATGGAGTTCTCTACAAAGTATAGTTTCCTGCACTCTGCAGTCGATCTCAGTTCATCTTGATATATTGTGGGCAGCATGTGGGCATACTGTGGGAGTAACTAATGTAATGCGATGCTGCATGTACGATATTGGAAGCATGTTGCGCGCATGAGTGGTCATCTTTCCATCGCGTTGGCCTGCAAGGTACGATCTGCCTGCAAACCACGATGCGCATCGTCCTTTCGCAAGACAAGCAGCGACAATCGGATGAACTGCTACAACGACATGAGCGAGTGCCGATAGAAGCAGTGCACGGTTGTATTTGCTCTTGTTTTGGCTATCAAACGAAGCAAAACGACAAACGACACAAACGACGACCGACAATGCCGAAGAACACATGCAGTCAAAGTCGGGGTAGATATCCGTAAATTGTCCTGTCCATTCCCGGGCGCCAACGGCTGATTCGAGATTCGAGACGGACAAACAAAATGACAAAATGTACTCCGCACTTGCTCTTCTTTTAATCTATTCTCTTGTGAAACGAAAGCCACTGCAAAACCAGGTCAAAGGGCAAAGGACCTTTTCTGCCTTTTTCATACCAAAAGACGCATGGATCACCAGAGCAGCCGCACGTAATTAATATCAAGCCGTTTAGAGACACGAATGAAAGGAAACAATTTTTTATAAAAATAAATAGAGTGAAGAGAAGGTCCGTCCATTGGTTTTCAGGCAGTTGCCGTTTCTTTTCTTTTCTTTTCTTCTTTTTTGGCCGGTTTTCGGCAACAGACTGTTCAACGGGAGAAGAGTTATTTGTCGAGAATTGTGGTCACCCTGTTGACTAGAGAACGGGGGAAGACAACTGACATACATCGTGGACACTTGTTTGCTGGGGCAGCGTACGTTATCATCGAGAAATGTAGCCTGGCGGTAGCAAATGTCATAAAATAGAAAGGCTGGTGCTGTTGCGCCCGCCTGGAACAATACGACGCTGCACTGGGACCTTTGTAGCGCAGTTGCTTTCACTGAGACTCTCTGTGGGTCATCTTGGGGGATATCCTTCACTGTCGCCCTGTTGCAGTCAGATACGCCGTTACAAAGAAGGAGGGTCCCGCTCGCTTGCATTGAAGCCGAAGTCGAAAGGCTTGGGGCAATATGAAGGTGAACAGGAGGGCCTGCAGGGCAATGCAAGATTCTGCAAGGTGCCCGTTATGCAGCCGGAGTTCATAGACCCAAACGGCAGTAGATGGTCCATTGCCTGGGAAACAATGGCTTCCCAAACAGAACTATCAAGCAAAGGAAAATTCAACGCAGTTGATTCGTATCTCTCGACCACCAAGACACACTGGCAACGTAAAGTAATATGTCTACGATGCAAAGAGGAACGGTGTGAAAGACCACAGAAATGTGCCGTTGACACTGAGACGCCAAAAATGACCGACAACAATAGGACACACGGACCGCCTGCTCATCTGCCTCGGCTGTATATCGCTTTACCTCGATCTGCCCCGCTTACCTTGCCTCGCTTGTCTCTCTCTGCCTTCAAAACGTATCGCCTTGATCGTAAGCACGCCATGGTGAGAGTGGTAACAAATGGCGACAGAGACGTAGCAATGGTGACAACATCGAGCCTATCGGTCACCGTGTGGGTGCCCTGTCCATTGTGCGCCTTTAATCAAGATGCCCCTCGACCATAGTGCCATCCAGAGCATGGCTTACCAGGACATACGACATAATACATGCCAGAACGTTGTAACGGATACTCCGGCCCAGGATGTGACACTGATACAACTCCACGCTGATACTCTGTAAAGTCGTCTTTTCATACCGGCCCTGGCTCGTCGAAGGGATTGTGAGACCGGAAGACCATCCGCTGGCCGAGTGCCGGAGGGGACAGGCCATAGGTGAGGGGATGATGGAGGAACGTAGGGACTACTTCGTACGTTGTAGATTTATGCAAAGCCGTTGTCGAAACAGCCGGTGGCATACAACCACCAGAAAACCTGGAAGGGATGTCAAGAAACTGCAAGAAACTTGGAAAACTACCGAGACTACGACGGCAGCGGAGAAAAAAACGCATCACAAAAACATGGACAGCAGAAAAAGCTTAGATATGCAGCTAACACAAGCTTGTCGAGAATAATAACGTGGCAGGTGCGGGATGTTGGACAATGGATACAGCTGTGTCGTGTTGGCTTTTTACCTGTTGGGGAGGGCAACTTATTACAGCCAAAACAGCAAAACAGCAAATAGCGATCCCGTGAGTTTTGACCTCTTGTGTGGTTTACCATACGCCGTATCTTGTTTACATATTGCCCCAACGGTACGGTGGCGGAACATTTGTAACCAGTGGAAAATTGATGTTTTAGTAGATGATGTAAAGTGAAGTAATAAAAAAATCCTTTTCTTTATTATTTTTTCACAGAAAAATTCAACAGATTTCTCCATCTATATGCAAAAAAAAAGAAATACAATAGATCTTGGCCAATGCATTAAGCAAAAGTATTGTTGTTGCCTGTTATTTGGCATTGCTACTCACGGGCAAGTTTGCCACAATTATGGCATTGTGTTTGCAGTCCAAGCTTTTGTCCGGGGCATAATTGGGCCTGGGGCACGGGAGCGCCCTCTATTTATCCACGATTCTAGTTTTTCTACAACTGTACTTTCACTGCGATTGACGTGCCGCAAGGGAAGAGGCGGACTTTTTCCTTTTTGCTCTTACATCGCCCCCTGTTGTTCAACGGTTGGCTGTCAAACGGCCGCGAAATCAGTACAAATCGGCCCTAATGCTTCGCATGTAAGTCGCTGTCGATCTTTTCTTACCACAGGTTAGCGCTGCATAACGAGGAAAAGGGAAAAGGGGGCAAGGTTGAAATGGAGAGCTCATAGCTATGATAAAACCACGCTGTAATTCTCCGATTGGGAGGGGGAAAACGATCTCTCCTTGTCCTTGACTTTTCCGTCGTGGATCTTGAGTTTAAATTCCAACAAAATAGTTGGGAAACGTTGGAAGCTACGACATACATTTATGGAGCACGAGAGCGGAGCGCTATGCTGATCATGATCATTTTGCCTGCCCCTCTAAACGCTTTGGTCTCTTCATGCAATCGCTGGGGCTCATTTTATGCTGCAGCAGACAACCAAGCTTTGGTGACGGGACGTGCCCAAGTTGACTTTTGTACGCCGTATGTTGTACTCTGTTCTTTTTGGGTTCTATTTTTTTTCTTCTCTTGTTACTTCAACTAGGATAACAAAGACAACTCAAGCTGACAAACTCGACTCCTAATGCGTGTCGAATGGAGGTGTGTGAGTTTGAAAGTTTGAAACCGACGTAAACTTGTTTAAAACAAAATCTCAAGACACAGATGACTTGTCAATATGAAATGACGAAAGTGTTTTTATTTTATTTTTCTTTTAAAAAAAAAGAAGAAGACGAGAAACCGACAGCTAGAAACCGAAAACCTGATGACATGAAATCACGATTGCTTGAAAACATGACAACTTGACAACACAGAGAAAAACAAATAAAAACTGGAAAAAATGGCCACCTGCGATGCATTGGCGCTTGTTTCGATTGTCCCAAAGAGGAAGGGTTTTGCGCTGCTTCAGAACTCTACGCACATGGACACAAAACAAGAGAGACGACAAGAGAGTCTGACACTTTGTCTGCAGCTCTTCCCAATGCGTAACATGCTCCGGTCGACGGGCCCTAAGCCTGCAGCGTCTGTGCCCTACGAGGGTCCCTGGGATACTTGAACAGCTTTGGTCAGTTGGTCCGTTTCCTTGGAAAGATGTTTGCCAGACAGGCAGCCAGACAGACATCCAGACAGACATTCAGAAAGGTGTTTCATTGATACACACTTTCCCAAAAAGATCGTCGCTGCAGTTGGCCATCACAATTCACAATCGTTGCTTTGTTGTTTCGTTGTTTCGTTGTTTCGTTGTTTACCGTTACAAGTTTTTCCGTTGACCACTCGGTGAATAGCAATCGACGGTGTGACATACTCTGGCCACCCCAAGTGGAAACACCGCCAACTCAGAGCATCCAGTGGCAATGATGTGACACGCGAAGCCGGTGAGTCTATCTTGCCTTTCTCTCTCCGTCTCCTTTTCGTTTACTTCATTCACCCTCTGCTCAGCACTTGTACTTTATACGGCTGCAAGCGAAGGCTTGGCAGCAGGTCTCGAGCCTCTTTCCTCGATACAACGTGGGCGAGTTCGGCGAGGTACCCTGACAGCTTACCTCACCCGCAGAGTACAAAATACCGGCCGCTGTTTCAATTTTTGATGTTCAGAGGCCTACATATCTTACGACTTCCAATGTACGGTATTTTGCCCAACAGACCTGGCCTGCGCTCCTCCTGCAACCGCACGGCAGCGCACTGGATCGTGTTGCACATATGCACTCCGTTAATCCTGCCGCAACTCTCTGCGCCCCATAAAAGAAGCAGAAGCACTGTCACGGCGGGTGCGAAAGAAAGGGCGTGTGCTGTGCAGCATGGGGCTTGCGGCGTGCAGCAAACGCACATCTGTTGTTGGGGGGATGAAATAAGAAGGAGAAGAGGAAAAGAAAACAAAAGAACGAGAAAGTAAATAAGCACTTGTTGGCCGTTGGATGTGGGCTGTCTTTCCCTAACTGTCGAGCTAACATTTTTTTTTGTCGCTGTATGGATTACGTTCCGTATTCACTTGTAGTTTTGGAACAACATCTGCGTCGTCCTTGAAATGTAAGATGTACGAATATATCGTACATCTTTCTCGTACGAAAAACCTTGTAATTGGTGCGTCATGATTACATCGAAAAGGAAAGAATACCCGCCGCTATCTGCAGCTGCCCGTTTTGGGGAGAAGACACAACGGCGGCAGTTGTACTCCGTACGACTCTATATTCTGCCAAAAGGAAAGAACACCACGTAAGAACACCACGAACACAGCGCGAGGTTGTGCCAGGAACGTCAGGAACGACCGAAACAGCCTACTGTGTAAGCGACGACACACGTACTCCGTTCGACGTGATACGTCCCCCATTGCTCCTTCCTGGCCTCGCCCTGACCTCGTCCTGACCTCGCCGTGCCCCACTACCGACCGGACCCTGGTCAGGTCGATGCTGCCCAATCGGCACAAGCGTGGTTTCAACATGGGGGAAGGAGATGGGTGGGCGGGGCTTTTTTTTCTTGTCGTGAGGGGCAGGAGCTCAGGAGCAGAGAAAATGTCTGTACATCGTTCTTTCGTACGTCGTATTGCTCCATATCTTCCTCTTGTCCTCTCTGTCAGTTCAGCCCCCTATTCCGGACTCCAAATTGTCCACAACAGGGAGGACAGTCCCAGGAACGTGTCTTGGCTTTGGCCCAGCTTTGTGTTCTCGTTTGTCTATTTCTCCTTGGCGGATGTCACGATGTTTTGACGGGGGATCCGCGACGGCCAAAATCAACACGAAGGCCTTCTGAAGTCTTTCGAGATGCTGCACTCCCGTCGAAGCCGTTGAATCCGTGAGTATTTACGTCTTGACCCTCCACTGGACTGGTCCCTGTTCATTTCCACGTTCTCTTCACCTCTTTGGCCACCGTTAAACCTCGCTTACCATCTTCTCCTGCTTGCCTCTCCTGTCGTGTTGCATTGCTTCCTTGTCGATATTGGTAGCTGACGCTGGACGCTGAATACCGACAGACCGAGACGCTTTGATCACTTGCCGTTTCTATTTTTGCCATTTTTGCACTGGCTTTCGCTTTTTGCTTACTTTGTTCGCCGCATCTCTCACAAGACAAGACAACCAGCGTTTCTTGTTTTCTTCGCCTTCCTTTCTTTACTCCGTACAAAGCACTCCGTGCTCAGTTTGTTTCTCCGTTTCGTTTCCGTCTCGTTTTGCGCTGAACAAATTTCTTGGTAGCAAACAGGATAATCGAAACAACACGAGACAACCGTTCATGCGGAACGAATCGGCTGCGATCTGGGGGCCTGGTCTGGGGTTGGGCCACCACCCTCTCTCGGCTGCTCTTGCCCGAGAACTCCAACGGCTGCCTCTCGCCCGTGTAGCATCTCTTCTCCTTACACAATGTCCAAGCACTGCGAGTGAACCGACGCCTGGGCAATCTGCATTCTGTGAATGAAACAAAAAGAAGACGGCTGTAAACAATCCCAGTCGTCTTGCTATTGTCTACTCCCTGTCTCTTCCTTCGCTTCTTACTACGTGCACCGTTGATAGCCCGTAGTCCGTAGAGTACGACTTATGTACTCCGTATTCGCAGCACTCTGCCCGGTGCTTCAACTAATTCTCCTAAGGACGGAACAGAGGGTCGTACCGCGGACGGGTCCCGTTCTGAAAAGAGGAAAGAGCGTCAAAAAAGAAAAGGTCGAAGCAAAACAAAAAAAGCCAGCAATAAAAAGGCACTGAGTGGGGAGCCTCCGCCAAATTCCTACTTTCGTTGTTTAAAAAGAGAAAAAAAAAGACTACGTCGTATGGAGTACATTCCGCCCGCAACGAAGCTTGTCTCCAAACACGATGCAACATCCTGCTACGAGGGCACGTTTTTTTCTGTTTCCACCTGCACTCCTACAAGCACGGAGTACGCCGTCCAGAATACATCGTACTTGTTTTTCGATTCGTTTTCACGCGCTCACTTCTTGCCGGGTTTGTTGCTTTTGTCCTTACTATTTCATCTTTATATACGAATTATTGACTATGTTTCTGCGTAGCGCCGTTTTCAAACCCAACTGCGCGGTCCAGGCCTTCACCAGCCAGTCACCTCCTTCACCTCCACTTACACCTCTCCCTCAAGCTTTCTCCGTGCTGCAACCAAGCACCTTTTTCAGACCTGCCCCGTCCAATCCGGTTCGCTCCCCTCTCTTATGCTACTCCTGCACCCTTCCTCCCCATGTTCTTAATACCGTCTATTAAGACAGCACAAGCTTATCACAGCTACCCCCAAGAGACCAAAAAGTGCATGGAGAGAGCTCCTCGTCGTCAATCTCCCCGTTTCTCAACTGCCTTCCATATCTCCGTCACTGTTTTTTTACTTCTTGTCTTGTATTTACAGCGCCCAGTGTATTGTGCCATTGGAACAAACCGACGCGTAGCTGGAACGTTCTTGAAAATAAAAGAAAAAAAGCCTCCGCGATCGTATAAATAATAGTGACGATAAAATAGTACAGAGTACGACAGTGCCAGAGTGCCAGGAACAACCCCGTCTTCCCCCCTTGTCTCCTGCACGCCCTTGCCACCATCTTTCTCGCCTCCCTTCCTCCTTTTTATCTCCTTGTTCTTCCCTCCCCTGGGCCGAAAAGGAAAGACATGGGAGCCGCCTGCTTGAGGTGGATGGACCCGCCGCGCCTAGAACCTCTAGCTAATGGTTGAACATGGTAGTCTGGGTCTTGTTTTTCTTTTACAGTCATGTCATAGCAGCCTCTTTATTTTTATTTTTCAAGTCTCCCACAAACGTCGATGCTATTGCCTTTTTATTCTGATTCTTATTTATCGTCACTTATCCCCTCCTTTAAAAACTTTCACCGTTGTTTTTCACTGTCTGTCCCTCCCATCCGCTTGCTATATCTCTCATCCACAAATTGCCACTCGGCTACGAATTACTTCCTCGTAATACCCCTCCTCTCACGACGACCACGACTGCCATAAGGACGACGACAAGACACCCAAACCGACGAGTCCCGAGACGCAGTGCTGTTGTGTCCGCCCCTGGAACCGCTCGGCTTATCTACTGGTGCTTGCCATTTCATGGGGACTCCATTCTCCATACACCCATATATTAGAACCCCCCCGATATATATCGACAACGTCTCGTCTCTCCCGCTTTGGACCTCTGCAACTCGTTTCTGTCATATTTTTTGGTTTGCTCGCTGGAACGTCGATTACATTTAATTGCTGGCCGTTTTGTTTTACTCTTAATTCTTTTTTTTTTCTTCACTTAATTCTCTTCCCGTTTGGACCTATTTCCTCTCCTCCCCCACCCCCTCGCTCTCCCGTTTCCTCCTCTTCTATTCCGGGGAAAACAAAAGCGGCCTGAGCTGCAAGCACTTTATCTCGAGCTCGACCTTTTTCTCTTCCCGTGTTTTGTTTGTCTTCATTGTTAAACTCTTTTTTACTCGTTCTGTCCCTACCTCGTTGTATTGATTGTTGTGCGTTTTGTTGTCTTTTATTGTCCCGCTTCATTTAGACATTCCCGTGTTCCAGCCTCCCGTTTGTCCTCGTCCCGCGCCTATTCTCATAAGCTCAATGGACCATATTGTCCGTTGTATGCTCGATGTCGACCCTAGTGACCTCTACTACGACCCAGACCTCGACGAAGACCTCGATTTGGACACAGACGACCTTGACAGCAAATATACCACCTCCAACAGACACCAGCATCAAGGCCGCGGGCCGGCTGTATATTCATATATAGAAGCGAACGCCCCGACAATGGATCAGGTGAGGCTTCCTTTTCTTTTTGTTATTTTCCCCCTTTCCCCCGTCGTACCCCATCATCTCCTCCACCATGCCGTCTACTACGGCCTTGACTATGGCCACAACGCCGTCGCCACGACGGTCGCCAAGGCGGCCGTCCAGAGCGTCGCCCATGCGACCCTCGCCTCGAAAGTCACCAGCATCGCCAGCATCGCCAGCCTCGCCGTCACCGACCTCGCGGTCAAGCACGTCTCAATCAAGGCCGTCTCTTACTTACATGTCTCTCCTTCTCCATCAGCAGCAGCTGCAGCAGTTGCACAAGCAGCAGGCACCTCTGCCTGCGCCGCCCGCCGACGAAAAG